AGGCTTCATTAAAAACAATCCTTGCCAAGTCTTACACTCCAGCATGGAACACTTTTTTTCCCCTCAGTACTCAAAAAATTTTACTCTAAATGAACCTCGTAAAAAGTGCCAGTATAATAAGAGCTATTTAAACTGGACAGAGGGTATCAAGCAGGACATCTGCAAAGAAAAGACAATAAAATCTGTAACAATTCCCTCTCTCAACAGCCTTCTCCTGGGCTCATAAGCTTTCTTCTTTGGTGGGGTTGCAGGGGGGTGAGGCTGGTCTGGGGAATGCCACATACAACCATTCAGCACAGCAAAGTGCAAAGACACACAGGGCCCTCTCCACACCAGGCAATTCTGTCTCCCACAGGCCCCTGGGAAGCCAAGCTTTATTAGAAACTGACTCCAAACTTGAAAGTGTCATCTGCAAGGGAAGGGGACCTCAGGACAAGAGCCAGCTTACAGTCCCCTTTATCCCATCACAGATGTCTCGCAAGGCCCCCAGCTGAGTATCTGGGCAGAGAATGTGGTAGACCCACTGCAACAAGTCCCCAGCGTGGGTACAGGTTTCCTTCTTTCATTCTGCACACAGTTGGGTGAAGTCTTGATCCCCCCACCTGAGCTAGGTATCCCTCCAAGTCATCCGATACCACCAGAGCTCAAARCAACTTGCTCTCTAAATTGTTGCCACAGGCAGAATAGCTTTCCATGTATTTCAAGTCACTAGGTATGCAGAAAGTTCCCCTCTCTCTTCTACCTGTCTGTCTACACARTCAGGAAGGAGCCACATAGACTCAGAAATACAAGAGCTGGGGGTAGAGCTACAGCTTTGGAGTACCATGAAAAGTCTTCCAGCAAAGACACACTTAAGCTCTGGCTGTTTAAATTTTGGACATCAAGGCTGTAATATTCACTTCTTTGTTTTTAAATATACTTTATGGATGAAGATACTTGAAGGATTTTAGGTCTCTGGCGTATGACAGATAAAAGTCCAAATACATGCTGTACTTATTTTACTCACTTTTTTTTTCCCCACAAACTACACATCTTTGACATCCCAAGGGATGACCTAATTTAGTATCTGAAWGTTCAAAGATGGCATTTGTAGTGGGAATTTAGCTTCCAATTATACAGCATTATGCAACATTATGAACTATTTTAAAACTTTACTAAAAGGGTAAAACAGGCCATGAACTCTATCTGAGGCCCGATCTTATGAGGCTCTCAAAGGCTCTTTTACAGATCATTTAGAAAGATTAAAGAAACCCACTCTGCCCAGGAGAGCCCTTGCTCAGTCAATTGAAGGTCCCATTAAACATGAAAGAGACCCTTATTTTCTGCTCACCAACTATGGATTTCTATCTCTCCACAAACTGTATCACTGGTTATTTTACTTTTAAGTTGCTTTCATATTTATCATCTCATTTTATCTGTGAATGTGCCAAGAGCCATATATAAAGATGGAAATAAGAGCCCCATTGTTGCTCTGGGCATGGGTGATAGTCAAGATCTTACCTCCCCCAAATGTCAAGTGTACAAAAACAAATAGCCAGGAAGTTGGGTAAAGGAGCAGAGAATGGAATAGAATAGCCATGCAGGTGGGACTGGGGTCCAGAGATAAGGGCCTGGGGAGGAATGCAAGAAATGAAGAATAAGGAGTGAGAATAACAACAGAGGGTGGGGCTGTGRCTCAGTGGTGGAGCGCTTGCCTAGCAAGAGTGAGTCGCTGGGTTTGATTCTCAGCATCACATTTAAAAAATAAATAAAATGAAGTTATTAAAAATCAATAACAACAACAACATATTTCTAAGTTAACTTTTCAGAAAGCATTTAAGGGGTTCATTTATGAACCCTAACTGGCAAGGGAAAGAAAAGAATCTGTATGTTTTGGATTATTTTAATATGTTATCTCTGCATGTGACCAACATCCAGGAATCCTACTGCCCAACTAAGGGTAGAAGGACAACTTCTCAGAAATAAGCTACTCTGATATTTGGGACCATGTGGAACACTGTCTTATGTGAGTGTGTTTTGAATCAATTCATGTATCAATGATCTTTCACAAAAATATTACAGTTCACAAATCCTGAAAATGAAATCGAATCCCAAGTCATGGAGATTATGCATCTATATGGCATATACATAAATAAAATGTACAGTCTATGGGGAAAAYTGATTGAATTTGAAATGAGTATTGATTGATATTAGTTAAATGAGATTCAATAAAGCCGAGTATGCAAACTCAGAAAATGTGTTATTGGATAAAGGAAGATAAATCACTGGTTATCTCTATAAATTATTATACTAGTTTGTTTTTTTTCCTGCCAGCAACAATTCTTGCTTAGGAAGAGCCAACTAAGGAAAATTCGTCTTTTAGGTATGGTAAGAACTTACCATAGCTGTTATTAACAGATTGCTCTTTACAGGGAAAATATTCAAAATCCTCTCTTCAGTTTCTTGAGATACGCAGACTATCATCACCTGGTTAGATTTGGAAGTTTTCTAGGTGGAATGGGCAAGTGACCCACAGCACTCTGGCGACTTCCAGAACAAAGGGGAGCTTAGTTCTTCCAACCTGGGTGCCCCTATTCAGCAGCACTTATCTTCACCAACCCTGCCCCTCCCAATACCCCTTCTGCCTTTGCCTCTGAATGTCCCACCTCTGAATTTCAGTGGGGTCATTAGAAATAATCCAATTTTATTCAAGATAATAAAATCAGAGCTGCCCATTAAAACTTTTTTTTTCCTAATTAAATTTCTGTTATGAACTGGCTTACCTGATTATTTTTGGCAAATATTTAATGTGAAACATAGTATACATGTTGATCACTCTTAAGCAGCAGATTCATACAGGGCTGGTGTTGATTATATTCTATTTATTAATTGCCTACCATGTGCCAGGCACTGTTGTACATGCTTTTACTATTATTTAATAGAATTCAAAGAACCCTGTGCAGGTACCATCTTACAGTTGAGGTGTGGCACAGATTTGGAGTCTGAAACAGGGGTCAGCAGACTATGGCCCTTCGATTAAGTTGGGCTCTAGAGATTTGTTCATATTTCTAGGACTATTCATTTACAGTGACTATCACTGTTTTTGAGCCCTCCCAGCAGAATTGCACACTGGTGACACTGTGACCTTAGGCTCAGAACCTAAACTTTTTACTATTTAGAGCTATATGAAAAGGTCCCCAACCCCATCTGCAAAATATGATTAACTCAAGGTTACAGGAAAAAAGGCAAAGACATTTGGACTGCTTCAACTACAACTTACACTAAAACTTTCTTAGAAAAAAAAAAAAAACTCTATTTCCTTTCATTCAAATCTTATTCTTTATTTTTCCACCTAACGTTAATCAACCAGTCTCAGGTAGAAGAGACTTCATGTAATACTAGTTGAGGAACTAAATGCTTCTTTCTTAGTAAGGTGAATTCTGATTAAGTGGAGAAATTTCTAAGAAAGTAAGAAAAAAAAAAAAAAGCATAAACCAAAGAAAGCTTTAATAAGTTTCCTGAGAGGTTGTAAAACTTTTGGCTGATTCATAGATATTTCTTCTCAAGTACAAATGACATCATTGTCAATTTTTTTAAAAGTTGGCCAACTTGGTCCTACATTTGGTACCACATATTGTTTTGGTTGAGCATCAATTGACTTTTCTATTATTACTGGAAAGTTAGGTCATAACTATTTTAGGAGACAGTGTCTGTTCTATCATTTGTAGAAATTAACACATGATCATGCTTTAAATTATTTTATTTTATTTTTTGAGGGGCTAATGCTATAAGAATGTATTTATTTAGTACAGAATGTGCTTATTAGCAAATAGTCCACTACATTCTGAARCGCATTTTAAGTTAGAAGTCTAAAATAGGCAATAGGTATTAACAAATGAAAGAATTTAATCTTAATAGGCAGCAAAGTGAGTGTAGCTTTGTAATATACAAATTTGCTATTAAATAGAATATTCTTAATCATAAATTAAGAATGAGTTAACATGTGAGCTTCAGTGATCATTGTATTTATTTATTTATTTAGGTTTTTGTATTGGGAACTGAACCCCTGGGGGCACTTTACCATTGAGCTACATCCCCCCCCCCTTTTTTTAAAAATTTTAAGACGGGATCTTTCCAAGTTGCTGAGGGCCTCAGTAAATTGCTGAGGTTGGCCTTGAACTTGTGATCCTCCTGCCTCACCCTCCCAAGGTGCTGGGATTACAGGCATGCACCACCATACCCAGCACCACTGGTCATTCATTATGCTCAAAAACCTGCTTATAAATCAAAGTCAATAAATGGATTTCCAGAGGATATGATCTGGCTCATAGAGCTGAGTTTGATTCACATGGAATAAATTATGCAAATAATTTATAAACAAAATAACTTATGCAAATTATGTTAAACTGTTGACTATAAAGGTGAACAGAAAGGAAACACTCAAGACAAAACAGAGCCCATGGTTTTTCTTCTATCCTTCACTCCTTTCCCCCAAACACCAACCAGCATAGGCCCAACCTAGAACAGTGGCTCCAGGCTTAGCGTATTAGAGGCACCTGAGAATCTCCCACTCCTCGGGCTACACCCTTGGCCAATGAAATCAGAAACTCCAAGGCAAGTGGAGAACTGTGATGAGGGTGAAGAACAGCTTACCCTAATGGGTTCAGTCAGATACACCTGACACCTATCTGCTGGGAGGCTTGAAGGCCCATCCCATCCTCTCGCCTGCTCCAAGCTGCAAGGCACTCTGATGTGGGATTGATGAACACAGCATACTGGTACATGCACAGGATCATCCTTACTCCTGACACACACTGACTCATTAGTGCAACTATGAAGAGGAGTTCACCCAGTGAGCCCAGCCCTAGCTACATTAACCATCTGTTTAAACTTTCATACCTCTGTACATCTTGGGCGACAACACACATATATCCCCCACATTGAAAAGCTTGGCTTTGCTCTTTATTTTGCAAGCCTATTTCTCCTGCTTGACAAACTTGGAAAAACGAAGCTTGCCTTACCTCCACGATGCTTTTCAAATCTTGCACGTAAGTCCTTTCCGTCTCTAGAATCTCCTGCACAACCCTATCCACATAGAGGAGCTTGGGGCTGGTGGCTGTGTCTGCCGTCGTTTTGGACGCCCCATTTGTGTCCACTCTCCATGGGGTCCTGGGCTGCCTCTCACTGCTCTCGTCCATGTTCTGCGGCCCAGCAGGGGTGTCCCTCTGCAGCTCGCTGCTCGAAAACGGCYGTGCTGGAACCAGCTCCAGCTTTATGGCCCCCGCTTCCTTATCCTGGTGAAACAAGCCCAAGTGGCTATTTGAAACCAAGGTCATTCTGCTGCCAAAGGAGCCATGGCTGTCGCGGGAAGAGGYTGAGGATGAGGTGGAGCCAAAGCTGATGGGTCTGTCACTGTCAGAGAGCTCCATGGTCTTTGGTTCTGGGGATAGGGAACCTTCAGCTGTGGTTTCAGGATCGGGATCTTCTGTTACAGCTGATGCTGCTTCAAGACGCATCCGGTGCCCATCTACATGCGTAGCACAAAATAAATAAAAAAGACAGGATAAGCAAGGTGAGAGGGTTGAAAGGAAGTCAGAACCTGGCCTGCAGGTAWACAGTCAATAACCAAATGGTGCCAAGTTAGTTATAGAAAGAGAAAGGGCCCAAGATGCAAAGCGAGGGCTTCAGAAGCATTGCCTGGGAGCCTGATGGGAACGCAGTCTCRGGCTCTGCCCTAGAACTCCTGACCTCTGCATTTCACAAGATCCCAGGGTGATGCATACACAGGAAAGTCTAAGAAATACATCCAATGTCTMCAAGTGTGACCACCTGGAAGGGCTCATGTGTGCACATCAGTCTAGATGTACTAAATTAAAGGCTTAGAGGTTGGGGCTGAGCAATCTATAACTTTAACAAGCACAYAAGTGATTCTTATGTACTTAAGAGGCATCCTCCGGTCAGGTGCACTGGCCCACGCCAGTAATCCTAATAGCTCAAGAAGCTGAGGCCGGAGGATCAACTTATGATAGGCCAGCCTCAGCAACTTGGCAAGGCCCCAAGCAACTTATGAGACCCTGTCTCAAAAGAAAAGATAAAATGAGCTGGGGCTGAACCTCAGTGGGTTCAATCCATGATTCTTACAGAGTTTTGAGGATTATCACTGGAGATTTTTAAGTCTTTCACCACAATCTCAAAGAATATTAAGCAAGGTTCCTGGAAGTATTAGGATCTAAGTGACAGCAACAACTATACATTTCACTGTACACAACACTAAAGAAGCAACACATCGAAGATAATTTTCTAATACTAGGCATGAAAACCAAACAAATTAAAGACCCCCATCCCATTAGTAAGTATATAAATAAATATAGAAGGAAATTACAAGAACACTTAGGAGAAACAGGCTGTTGTCATTTATAAGAAAGCATATCTATCCACCAGGTCAGACGGTCACTCAATACCCACAGCACTTAAAAATGACCCTGGGTCCCAAAGGCTCTCATGCAAATTAAACTTTCAGAGCTGTTCTGATGGAATACTCAACGTTTCAAGCTTCTTCATTCCATAAAGCAGAATCAACATTTTTTACCCCTAAAATAATGAGATTCCAGGTATATAGAGACGATATGACCTGTGATAAAGAATGTGACTGATGATGATATTTGCTCATTTGGGCAGGTTACCTTACTATCCGAATCCATGTTTATGTGCTTTTATTGGAAAGGAGTGAAATTTATGTTTGGAAGGTTATGACAATACATTAACAATAATATACATTAATGATCAGTTTTCAAGGGGAATGTAAGTTCGTTTTGATTCTATAATAGAGTTCAAACCACTGGCACCATTATTTTTAGAACATGAAAAGTTCATTGGGTACAGTGGCACATGCCTGTAATCCCAGCGAGTCCGAGGCCGAGCAGGAGGATTGCAAGTTCAAAGCCAGCCTCAGCCATTTAGTGAGGCCCTAAGCAACTTAGTGAGACCCTGTCTCAAAATAAAAAGGGCTGAGGATATGGCTCTGGGGGTAAGTACTTCTGGGTTCAATCCTGATACAAAGAAAAACAAACATAAAGACTCCATCAAAATCCTTCAACATACTGAGTTTTTCTAGATAGATTCATGGCAAATATTAGTGCAAATGCATGAAGAAAATGTTAAAATTATGAATGTAAAATAAAGGAACTCTGGGTTCACAGGATAGAATGGTAAGAAATTATAGGAAATAAGCAATTTATCAGCATAACTGCTAACACATGGTATGAGTTTGCTTCGATTTTAAAAGCTTTTGCAATTTTTTTTTTTTTTTTTTTTTGGTTTGCTCTGTAACAACTTTATGGCCTATAAAACATGGATGGCCAGTAGTTAAAATGCACTTGACCTAAAAAGCTTGATCCAACTTGAGTGTGGCAAAAGTCTGAGAAGCAGCCAGGCATTTGGGCAGGCTGACAGCAGAGGACACTTGCCCATGTGCAGGACTAGTGTTAGGAAAGTCCTGAGCAGCTCCAAATAGGAACAGATGCAACGAGTTTCTTCCCTGGGGCCTCCACCATAACCATAACCATCACCATAACCCTGAGATTGAGTCCACCATAGGGAATGGGAAGAATGAAGGATTCTTTCAGGTCTCAAGGGTCAAATGAGGCTATGATTCAAGACCAAATGTAAGTTGAATGCACTCCATATAAAAGGCAAGGACATCTGGAAAGTTCTAGATCAAACAACCTACCCTCACAGATCTGGATAGGCTGATCTCCAGGGCAAGTTCCAATTTCCTAACTGGGCAAGAATTAGTCTTCCTCTAGTCTAGGAAACTTTTTAACACAGTTACAAAACACTTGGCAGTGCACTGATTATCAGGACCACCAAAAATAAACCCAACAAAGAGACTCATTTCTTTTATCTACTTACTCCAAGGCAGCCAATATGGGCTGTCCAGGGATTAAAGAGRAATAAAAATTGTTTTCAAAGGAGACCGTGTTGGCCTGCTACTGATGGCATTGCTTTAAAAATGACTTTTGAAGGTGAGAAAAAGTCGGATGTGAAACTTAGGGCAACAGGGGATGCCTTTGTGGATAAATCAAACAGCRACATGAATTGGGTACTGTTCCAGAAAAGCCTTCGTATGTTCCAAAACCAGGCCATGTACTTGAGATCACTGCCAGCCGTCTATTATTCAGGTTGCCAATTAGGCACTTTATAAAATCAAATATTGCAGATATTTGGCATGTGTAGCATTAGCCAACTTTACTGCCTCAAACTAAATACTTTCCAAAACTGCCAATGACAGAAGTGGGACATTTAAAGTCGGGTCGAATAATATCATGTAATACGAGACTGCATTTGCTAATGGATAACATTTTTTATGTTGACTCATTGCTTAGAAGATAATTAYAGTTTTCTCATAGAAGGAAATGTACCTCATAAAAACCGTCTAGTCTTGTTCTCACCTCCCTCAAAATAATTTAAGATTTCCACCYTGTCTGGACTATTCTTTCTCATACAATTTGCCAATTATTAATATTTATCTTTAGAGGTGTGCTGCTCAGTGTAGTGGCCACTGGCTACCCGTGGCTATCGAGCACTTGAAATGTGGCCAGTCCAAACTGAGATGTGCTCTAGGTGTAAAATACACCTTAGACTTCAAGGACATAATATGGAACAAAAGTTACAAAAYACAACTCAATCATTTTTATATTAATTACATGTTGAAATAATATTTTGGAACTGTGATTGAAATTAAAAAAGTCTTATTAAATTTATTTTCACATYTCATTTTACTTTTTTTWAAAAATGTGACTACCCGAGAATAAAATATCTATGTGGCTCACAGATAGTTTAGTTGGACCATGTGATACAGAGATCTTCTAGGTTATTACATTATTATGAAGATTAAGTTGACCATATCAATCTCTGTTCACTATTATTAACAATCCACTATTATTATTTCGAATAGAGAGAAAAATTCAGCTTGGTTTGCCCCCCCCCTTTTTTTTTTTTTTGCAAACTCCATCTATTAATTCGAACTATTGTTACAAATTAGGAGAACTAAAACCTCATCTGGGGTCCATCTAGGAGATGGCTGTTGTGTCATAGATTCTGGTGTTACTGATTTTCTATGATAAACTGAAACACCAGAGAGAAAAGTAGAGAGCAAGGAAGCTTTTTCTTCTGCCTAGAGTGAAAAATGAACACTTGTATAATTTGCTTGTTCTTAAAAATTCTCGTCTTCCTAAATCCCAAGCAAAGGGCTAATAATAGAATAATTTCCGAGAACTTCTTGCCAAACATTGCCAATCGTACTTCTCAGGTAGATCTTTTGACCAGGAAAACCCCCAAATAAGCTGGCTCGACCCACCTGAGGGTCACGGTCAATCTGATCCTTGGCAAGGTACAGGGGACATGGAGGTACAGGGGACATGGTGGTTTACTGATTCTTATAAGTGCCAATTAGCTAAGTCACTGACATTTCCTTTTTTGTGCCATTTTTTTAGTAAAAAGAAAAAAATAGCTAAACAGCTCCCTATAGGTATCGTATTTTAATTTCACAACACGTTTCTAATTTTTTCTAGGCAAAGTAACTTTAATTCCTTGGCTTTTCTTTGCGTGCCCTTCCAACTTCCATCATTTTAATTGCTCTCCTCTGGAATGTGAGTGCCAGAATCAAGCCGTGCTTCCTGGCTCTCACTTGCTTTTAGGGCTGATTTAGGTTTGACATGTAACTTCCCATGGCCTTCTGTGACTGCATTCATGCATGAAAGGGGGACTCAGTGGGCTCCATGGCCTGTGAGTCCATGTCACAACTCCCAAGGAGTGACCTACAAGAAAAAACAGAAAGTCCTCTCACTGCGGGGGTGGAGGAGGGATCAGGATTTCCAGATTCTGCTCATTGCTATTCCAGACATCAAATACCTAGTCTGAGTTCCTTGGCAGAACAACCAGGGAGATCTAGAGAATGTACTGTCCTCAATACGAGTGAATAACTAAAATGATGTCCTTCCTTATTACATGGCCTGTGCGCTCGCCAAAGAGGGAAAGCTGCAGAAAGACTATGGGATGAACGAGAAGCTCTTCAATCAGCTAGCAAAGGTCATTTAATATAGAGCTAGCCTCTGGCAGAGCCTCAACGTTTTAAACAACCAAATTCACAATTTTTTAAAAAAAGTGAAGAGTCAACATTAAGAAATACACATTCATATGTTTCAAAGACAACAACAAGTATTTGAGGAGAGTACCTCTCYCCCCAGAGTTGTGCCTACTAACTCAATACTTAAAAGCCTTGGATAATGTGGAGTTATGATTTGACTGTAAGGGGTCCCCCCAAAGCTCCAATTAATGCAGGAATATTCAGAGGAAAAATGGTTAGACTACGAGAACTGTAGCCTAATCGGTTCATCCTAGTGTGAAAGGACTGACTGGTTGGTGGGTCACTGGGGTGTGCCCTGGAAATGTGCACCTTCCCTGTGGCTCCGTACCCTTCCCTCTCTCTGCTTCTTCCTGACTCTTACAGGAACTGAGCAGC